AGGATCATTCATATGACTGTCTGTTTTAAGTTCGGAGGTAAATTTTTGGTAAAACCAGCAACATTACCGGAGGCCACGTATCGGAAGGTCAAGTGAAGGTATGTAGGATACGCACTATAGGTACTGAAAGCTATGATAAAGACCAGATCCAATACATCATCACCACTACTAGTATAAATGTGATAGTTTGTATATGTGTGTGTTTGTTACACTAAAAAGGCTAGAAAGTTTTGCATGAAGTTCTGTGAATTAAATTTTATCCCCCTATAGAATGAATTTCGAAAAATGCTAAAACACGTATTTATTTAATTATATAAAGCATTAATTTCAAGTTTCAAGTAATTCTGATCATAAATATTTTTTTGGATTTTATTATAACGTGTTTTCCCGTGGGAATTAGATAATCTCCTGCGGTTAAAAGTAGCCTATGTCACTTTTCAGCCCTCCAACTATCCCCACACAAAAAATCACGCCAATCCGTTGCTCCGTTTCGACGTGAAAGAAGGACAAACAAACAAACACACGTTCACATTTATAATTTTACTATAGATATTTTTACATTACCGGAGGCCACGTATCGGAAGGTCAAGTGAAGGTATGTAGGATACGCACTATAGGTACTGAAAGCTATGATAAAGACCAGATCCAATACATCATCACCACTACTAGTATAAATGTGATAGTTTGTATATGTGTGTGTTTATTACACTAAAAAGGCTAGAAAGTTTTGCATGAAGTTCTGTGAATTAAATAGTAATAAATAAATAAATAAGTAAATAAATATATTATAAAAATAAAAAAACCCGACTGCACTAAAAGCTAACTAAAAAGACGAAAACAAGTTCACGAAAGAATATAGTATTATGCAGCCGGAGACATACACGTTTCATCCTTGCCGCGAGATGTACATACTCGTATCGTCGCGTCGTAAGGCTTGTGTTATGGATACCAGATATTTGATACACTAAACATATATAACTTTAAATACATATGTGCATACATATTATAAATATAAACACCCATGACTGGAGTACACATATTCGTGCTCATCACACAAATGAATACTGCCAGCGGGTCTTGAACCCGCTACTACTGGCTACTACAGTAAATAGGGTCAATACAAACTCAGCTAAACGTGTCGTCAAATAAATAGACAATGACCTGGAGTAAGAAATCGAAACGAGGGTAAGTCGCTAGTGTATTACAAATATTAGTAAAATTATATTCTTAACTAATAATAATTATGTAAATAAAAATTAGGTAGGTAATCAATAATTAAGATAACCAAAACGTGTAAGAATGTGTTGGACAACTGTTTTAGTTTTTAGAAATGGAATATTTTCGGTTGAACATTATACCTGTATATTACCTGGGCTACCGAGCTTCGCTCGGAGTTTTTGGTCGAAAACTTAAAAAAAAACAAACAAAAAATTTGATTAAATACAAAAAAACAAAAGTAAGAACTTTGTATCATACAGACACCTGTGATTGTCAAACTTGCGCCTTGGCCGCTTGACCACGATGTTTATGTCCTAGCGTGCGAATTAGCAACCATATTTTGCGTGGAATAATGTGAAACAAAACCGCATGAAAACTCGAAAAAAAGCGTATTCCCAGGCTTAAAACTAATCTAGATCGATTTATCGCCCCCGAAACCCCCTGTATACTAAATGTCATGAAAATCGTTGGAGCCGTTTCCGAAATTCAGATTATATATATAAATATATATATACAAGAATTGCTCGTTTAAATATATTAGATATGTATATATATACATTACAAAAATTAGCTTTGATTTTATAGTATCCTTCAGAAATATTAACTTTTTTACGCTATTTATAAAATTAATATCTTATAAATAAACAAATAAGCAAGGTAAGTTAAAACAACATTAATTGATTGCGTGATGCGAATTTCGCATCCGAATTACAATTAATTTCTTTAAAGTGAATCAAATATTTCTGCACAATGAAGCGAGATCGAAAATTTATACAGAAGTCAGTGAAAGTCTGAGTATTACATAAAACAATATAATCCAGTTTAATGATCGGTCTTCACGAAAAGTGATTTCTTATGGGTAATACTTATACATAAATTTATTTTGTACTAGCAGAACCCGCGGCTTCGCTCGCGCTAAACCTACAAAATTTCTAAAACGGTTTTATACAAACTTTCATCCCTTATTTTACCGTCTTATAGGATGAATTTCGAAAAATGCTATATTTATGGTTTGTATGTTCCCGTGGAATTTAGATAATCTCCCGCGGTAAAAAGTAGCCTGTGCCTCTCTCCCGCCCTCCCAACTATCTCCACACAAAAAATACGTAAATCCGTCACTCCGTTTCCACGTGAAAGAACGACAAACAAACACACTTTCACATTTATAATATTAGTATGGATTATGTAACTTATCGCTAATTAATAAAACAGGTTTAATATGTATTTTTTTTATTTAAAATTTATAAAATCTCTGTCCTCGTGATATTTACTTTCTTTACTCCTTTACTTCTTCCGGAAGGCTCTTCTTCCGACTTAGGTATGACATTCGTTTTCGAACTTCTTCCTGTTATTGAAAATCTTGTCAAATTACTTTACTACTTTTAATACGAGGGGGCCATAGCCATCAAATCATAGTCCACCACAGTGGCCAAGTGCGGGTTGGTGGACTTCTGTTGGACTTCACATATCTTTCGAAAACTCGCTAGATTCTCTCAGACATGCAGGTTTCCTCACGATGTTTTCCTTCACCGTAAAACAAGTGGTGATCATATTGGAAATGATTCGCACATAAAAACATCAAAGGTGCGAGACTTGAGGTTTGAACTCGTTTCACTCGTTTCACAGTAGAGCACGTTACCACTGGGCTACCACTGTCTTTATGTCTATTTAAATGTACATTGTACATATTTTATGGCAGTTGTAACTGTAGAATTGGAGAAGATATGAGGAACAATTTGAATCAAAATTTTATTTTATTGTACCTATATTTATTTATTTTATATACAGTTATGAATTCCGTAGTCATTTCCAAATCTGTTCTTTAGAAATAATAGAATTTTCTAAATAAATGAATTCTTACTATATTTATAGCTATTGTGGTTAAGTAATTGATAATGTTTTTTTTTCACTGTTGAGTAGTTAACCTTAATGTAGAGTGTAGGTACTTGAATAAAAAGTAGACAGCATAAATTTATATTTTTGAATTTAAGTAAATTATATATTACTAGCTGAACTCGCGGCTTCGCTCGCGCTAAAATAGTAAAAAAAACTTTAAAAACGTAGTTTCATAGAAACTTTCATCACTAATTTTATCCCCCTATAGAATGAATTTCGAAAAATGCTAAAACACGTATTTATTTAATTTTATAAAGCATTAATATCAAGTTTCAAGTAATTCTGATCATAAATATTTTTTTGGATTGTATTATAACGTGTTTTCCCGTGGGAATTAGATAATCTCCTGCGGTTAAAAGTAGCCTATGTCACTTTTCAGCCCTCCGACTATCCCCTCACAAAAAATCACGCCAATCCGTTGCTCCGTTTCGACGTGAAAGAAGGACAAACAAACAAACACACTTTCACATTTATAATATTACTATAGATATTTTTAGTTTTTTATACAGTTACCTAATGATTTCTTGAAAATAATTATTTCGTATGTATGAGTATTTTCTTTATTATTTTTTATGTTATCGTCGTAACCTTTGAAGTAAGGGTTATCATTTATTACTATTAGGGTTTCGTGTTTATGGGGTCCATTTGTTTTCTACTACTTGCTTATTTCTTATACGTACGTACGTTTCTTATACGGTACGTTTTATCTGTTAGTATGGAATAAATAGATTATATATATATATATATATATATATATATTCTATTGCCTTCCTCAATAAACGGGCTATCTAATGGAAAACGAGTTTTTTAAATCAGATTTGTAGTTTCTGAGATTAGCGCGTTCAAACAAGCAAACTCTGCTATTTTATAACATTAGTATAGATTAAGCTTACAACAGAATAAGAGAAGTGGATTTAGACATCTGTGCCAGTCTATCTGTAGCATTGTTGTTCTCAAGACGATGATCTTATTTTTTATATCAACTTAGTTTTTTATTAAAATCTTAGCTGTTTAGGGAAGTAAACGCCAGATTAACGATCCCCGACACATTTGTGGACTAACAATATAATGATGATCTATGTTTTATCTCTTAAGATATAATTTTGAGGTATTTATCTCCTTATTTAACAGTACCTGGGCGACCGGAGTTCTTTTTTATTATATCGTGTTTTGTAGATAGAAATAAATAAAAACTTGAATAAATTCAAAAAACACAAAAAAAGCCAAAAGTAAAATCTTTGTATCCGACCGGGATTCGAACCCTGGTGATTGACAATCTTGCGCCTTGGCCGCTTGACCACGATGCTTATGCCCGAGCGTGCGAAATTAGCGACCTTATTTTGCATGCGAAAGAAAACCGCATGAAAACTCAAAAACACGTGCTTTCCCAGACATAAAACTCTAGATCGATTTTTCACCACCGGAAGCCCCAACACACCAAATTTCAGCGAAATCGTTAGAGCCGTTTCCGAGATCGCCGGTATAAATATACAAGAATTGCTCGTGAAAATATATTAGAATATTGTGTGCTAGTGCGGATGGATCCCTTGGCACGCGATATTTTATAATTAAGAGCTGTTTATACGAGAAACATATTTATTTATGCACTTTGCTTAAGAATGTGGAAATAACTATACTTTAACTAATATCATAGTTTTTTGCTTCAAGTTTCGTGCTCTCTTTATTTTTATAATTAATATATTCAAGATTTAAAATTTTATATTAATATAATATTAATTTAGTAAACAATGACTATATTTGTTATTAATAATTAATATAAAATAATATAAAATATGTTACGTATTTATTAAAAGTATTTATTGTATCAAAATAAATAAATAACATTTAATACAAATAAAAATATGTAAACAAAACAAACTACTTACGTTTTGTAACATCTCAACCATGCACTTAGTGTATTATCCAATGAGAAACCTGTAAGTTATTTCTTATAAATAATTTTTCAAGGAAATTCGTAACGGACTAATGACGTCAATTAAAATTTTGTGCAATAATAATGTACAAGAATTAAAATAATATAATATAGTTTTATAGCAGATATTAATTCGTATAAATTATAATATAATTATAAATAAATAGCGGCTCACCCTCGCTTTGCTCGGGTTCGTCGCTAGGTACGTTTTAAATATATATAAATAGTTATTACCCAGCGTTAGCGATATAAATTTAAATATGGTTGTTAAGTATTCTTAAAATAGTTAAATCGGTCTAGTCGTTTAGGCGTGATGGCGTGACCAAGGGAAATAGGGATTCATTTTTATATATATATAGATATAACAATATTACATCTTAAATAATACTATCTTTTCGGATTATTTCGCTGATTTATTTAGATTTTTGGTTTCCGACGTTTCGAATGCTTTACAGAAATCATGGTCACGGGAGGGACTAAGATTTTAGACGTCTCAAAGGTGCTACGAGTATATAATATGTACTTGTAACAGATAGTGCCTACACACAATTTTCCAAAAAAAAGATTTCAAAAATTCTAAAATTGCACCAAAGTACCTTTACGATAAGAAATAATTCGAAAATATAGTTTTATTTAAAATGTCCAACATTCGCGTAAATCAAAAAAATATTACATCTAATAAATGTTCATACACAGACACTGACCTAATAAAATTATTGTCGATATCCATATTTTAGATGGTTTGTACATTTTTCACACAAAATATATAGTACTTAGACATAGACCCCAAAACACTGTTATTGTTTACTAAGCACGTTCGTCACTGAACCACGCATCGAAAAGTATGCGATAGCGCAGTCACGATCCGACCAACCCCATACGTACGTACACGCGCAGAATACGAGTGATATCAGAATTAACCGATTTATGTAGCGTTTTTTAACCGACTTCCAAGAAGGAGGAGGTTCTCAATTCGTCGGAATCTTTTTTTTATGTATGTTCACCGATTACTTGAAGATGCCTGAACCGATTTGGAATTTTTTTTTGTTTCAAAGGGTTATTTATACTCCCAGGGTGGTCCCATATGGATTTTATCGACATTGGTCAAGCGGTTTTTTTAAAACTTTCTTCTTTATCATGCCAAGTACATTTATCGTGGAAAGTAATTTGTATCGCTACGTAGGTATTCATTCAGACAGATGGACATAAAGAGCAGATATACATGTCTTTTTAAACTTTCATGGTCACTCATAATATTTTTATCGTCAATGACAATATTTATATATTTTTTATGTACATACGTTACAAAAATATATGGAGCAGAAATGAATTTTTACGTATTTTTTTATTTTTATACAGTTTCTTTTATTTGTTCATTGCTAATCGTAATCGTAATTAGTTTTTAACCGACTTCAAAAAGGATGAGGTTTTCAATTCGATTGGTATTTTTTTATGTATGTACACCGATTACTCTGATATTTATGATCCGATTTACGCGATTCTTCTTCAGTTTGATGCGTAATAGTTGCTATTAGGTCCCATAAAAATTTAACATAGTTTGGCGCAGTCGTTTTCATTTTAAGAACATTTTTTATGAACATTTTTGTTTAATGTAATTTTATATTAGTTTGTGTACGGCTATTGTAGGACTTTTCATTTAGATCGATTATATATTATTATGTTTGATTTGACAAGCCCAATACGTTAGAATCGGATTTTATAGCAAGAATTTTTAGTGTTACTAATAAAAGCGAATTTTAGTTTCTCAGTCTTCATATAAAACTTGGCATCAAACTAACTTAAACGGTTTAAGCTAATACTTTATTAAAATACTTTCTTCTTACTTTGCTACTACTACTATGTCTACACTAAAAAGGGAAAAATAAAAACTTTTCAAGAAAAAAATTAAAGCCGACATCAAAAAAACACTAAAAAGTAAAAAATAACTGATTAGTAGTTTTCATTTACTATAGATACCTAATCAAATATTTTCGAAGTCGGTGCCAGCCGGTACAAATCAAAGCACATCGACTTACAATATGATGATGATGATGACTGACAATATTTGATTAGATATCTATAGTAAATGAAAACTACCAATCAGTTATTTTTTACTTTTTAGTGTTTTTTTTGAAGTCTGTTTTTATTTTTTTCTTAAAAAGTTTTTATATAATAACCTTTTTCACAGTCAATCGAGCTATCATGCAATCTCTAGGTAATGCAAGCAAAACATGTTGTGTCTAACGTGAATTTGCAAAAGAAAACAGAAATAATAGCTATACAGAAAATAATTAACTAAATCGATGTCTGCCAGTAGTCAGTACTGAAACTCTGCGTCAAGTGTATTAATAATGTATGTACGTAAGTTCAGTATTATTAATCTTTACATAGTATAATCTGTAGCATCTTGGAATATTGCAGTTCAGTATGGAATCCAGAATATAAAGTGCATTCAGACCGGATCGAGCGGGTACAACAACGTTTTCTGTATCATCTAACATATTGAAAAAGAAACTGTAAACATATTCATTCATATAAATCTCGTCTCGAACATTTTAATATGTTACCATTAAAAGAAAGAAGAAAAATAGATTTAATTCTTCTGTGTAAATTAATTAAAGGTTTAATTAATACCCCTGAATTAGAACGCTTGCATTTTTCAATACTCCGCCAACAAACTCGATTGCATAATCGCAAAACTTTCCTTTTACCATATACAAGAACCAACCTCGGTCAACATAGTCCTATCTATAGAATGGTATCCTTAGCAAATGCCCTAAGAAATTTATACATATATACTATTCTTTATTGCACTTATATGTAAAATACAGAGAGTAACAAACAATAAAATTAGTTAGCAAAGGTGGACTTATCTCTAGAAGAGATCTAGCATCTAGCATCGCCCGCGGGCGATAGATATTTTCGGTGATTCCGTGTCTTCGTTAAAAAAGATGTTTAAATATTACTTTAGTACCATAAAACAAAAGTAGTTAAGTCGAATTGTGCTATATTTTATGTAATGTTTTGTTATAATACAATAATAATTAGATTTAATGTAATTTAGCCTTGTTTAACAGTATATATTTTTATTGTTAATACTTAGCTCTGTTCATATGCATGTGATGTTCACATCTTAGAAGACATCATTTGTCTGATTGTATACTTTAGAATAATTATAATTAAGCTTGTTTATTTCATCTGTATGTCGGTTTTGTGAACTTATAAATAAATAAATAGTATAAAATAAAGTCGCTTCCGCTGTCTGTTCCCTTAGATCTTTTAAACTTCTCAACGGATTTTAATGCAGTTTTCAGCAATAGATAGAGTGATTCAAGAGGAAGGTTTATATGTATAATACATGCATATTATAGTACAGAAAACCCGATAAATTCAAAGATTTGTATTTCATACCGTTAAAACCCGAGCGAAGCGAGAGTGAGTCGCTAGTACAGGATAAACTTGTGAATGCTCGAAATATAAATTAATCGGATAGAAATTCAACCTTCGTCGCATACATTCGTCCTACGACAAACAAATTGTCACTTTACTTTTATTTTTTAGGAAATAAAAGCCACAACTTTGTTCTGCCTACTATGCCAGTATTTTTTTTAATAAATGTAATATTGTTTTTAATAAACTTTTAATATACTTAACTTGTTTCAAGGCAAGTTATATCTTGAAAAAAATAAACCAACCTGTCAATTTACGGTTATAGAGCCATGAACTACTTAAGTACTTTTTTATTCCAAGTTCATATTATATCAACACGCTAAAAAACTTTACGTATGTAAATCAGAATTAACATTTATTTATTTATTTTATTTATTAGCTTTTTAAGGGAAACAAACAGTACAACAAATAATTACATTTGAAAACATATAAAAATAATGCTAAAAACCAACCAAGTTTCCACAGATTTACAACACATAAACAAAAGCTTACCACCACGATAAGATGATACATATTATATAAAAAATTTGAATTTAAAAATAACTAAATGTTACCACATAATAAAACATCAAGTAATTATGCAGTTAAAAGTTAAAAGTAATAATATACATACAACCTACAGCAAAACTACCTATTATAAATTAAGTTTTACAATATTTTTTTTATAACTAGTATATTTAAGATGAAAGATATCTAATTTACAATATTTTAAATTAAATTTGTTACATGCACGAGATACAAAATTATTTGAAGCATACTTTGTTTTAGCACACGGTTTATTTAATTTTTAGATGAGAGACAGTGTTTTATTCTGATTATACACTACACTACAACTAGCGACTTACAATCGTTTCGATGGTTTCGATTTAAAAATTTAACAATATCAGTTTTGCACTACACCGAAAAAAGATTTTTTGTTGGAATAAAACTAGCCTATAGCACTCAGCGGTTAATATACATAGCTTCCTATCAGTGTAAGAATTTTCGGATTCAGAGTAGAATTATCAAAATCAGTAGTTGAAGAGATTATATCTAAAGTCACTCTTAAAAACTCTATCTTTTTATAATATTATTTATTGTGTATTGCAACATAACACCGAGGTTATGGTTTGACTGCGCTGCGCTAGTAATATATACAACTAGCAGAATCCACGGCTTCGCTCGCGCTAAAACTACAAAAAAAACTTTGGATTTATGCTATTAGTAATAATATATGGAAGTCTGCCAAATTTGTTGACATTTATGATTACTGCTCCGCTCCCTTAGGTAGTAGCATGATGATATATAGCCTCCTTCTTCAATAAACGGGCTATCTAAAGCAAAAACAATTTTTCAAATTGAATTACTAGTTCCTGAGATTAACGTATTCAAATAAACAAACAAAATTAAAAAAAAACAACTCTACTTCTTTATTATATTAGTATAGATCAGAATTAACATTAACAATAAAACAAACGAACTGCGTAAAAAGCGAATTAAAAAGAATGGAACAAGTGGTTGAATTTACATAGTTTTATGCAGGAGATATACATACATACATACATAGTAGGTATATATACGTAGCAAGACTTGTAGTAAGTATAAAACATGTACGCGCGTATGTCTCCGTCTGCATAATACTGTGTTTCATCTTTCCATGCAGTCGGGCTTTTTATGTTCATATTTTAATGTAGGTATTATTTACAGCTGTTTAGTTTTGGCCGTTAGACAAATTTCGGAGTTTTATTTGACAACTAGCATTGCCCGCGGCTCCGCCCGCGTTCAGATGACCAAAAACAAAATTCTTCAAATACAGATTTTATATATTAGTATACTCTTACATATACCAATTTCATTGCGCATTGCATGATTGGTAAATAATGGCGGTGATTGACATGCCACAAAGGTTCCTCCGTTCATCTTATATTTGATTTAGTAATATCGCACTTTTTGTCTTAACAATAACATATGTAGTATGTCTATACTTCTGTATTGTTTGTTTGTTAGTTTAGTAACTCTAAAACTATTGAATTAATTTTATTTCTTTATCTACTAATAGACAACAATTGGTTAATTTATATTTAGCTGATTATTTAAATAACATAATAATATTTTTTATTAATGTTAATTGGTCACGAAACAGGGAGGGCTTAGCGCTAGTTAGTAATATTTTTCGAAACGATATTCATAAGAAAGTGTTGGGGAAAGTGAGAGTTCCAGAAGTACATAATTAAGGTAAATAAGTAAATAATTCTAAGCTAATAATTTTATTATTTAATAGGCTCGTCTAATATGATTGAAGTCGTAAGAATTAAGAAATG